ACACAAAGCCTAAACATAGGTGAAATTGACATACAACATTACGATAACTACAATATGGAGGTACTTACCACGCAACACGGCCATCTCCTGTTGGCTCGTGGGGTGTACTAAGTTGGTTCGATCAATCACAGCGATCGAAAGAAGTTTGCCAAAGAGAAAGCAAATATTCGTTTGCGTATAGGTAGAAATGACCTAGATTGGGCTTCTAGGGTTAATCTGACCCATTTTCAATATATCGCCAATTTGGTCGTTAAACATTCGCCTAGAACGTCCCTTTGTGACTCTGCTGTTCACATCTGCAACATATATTTGGTTTGTCCCTCTTTCCTAATTCATTCTTTCTACATGACCAAACCACCGAAGCATTTCGTTCTTAATGCTGGTCACAACATCATCTTGCAAACTAGATATGACTTGTATCACTCAGATTCAGCCCCAACATACTCCTTAACGACCGCATTTCTACTGCATTTATTCTACTTTCTACTTCTTCTGACACACCCAACTTTCACTACCGTACTTTAAAGTAGGGACTGCCTTCTTTGACACATTCTGTCTTTCCACTATAGAGTTTATAACTCCATTTACTCTATTCTCTGAGTTCACTCGTCTTTTTACATCCTCATCATAAACATTAATGTGTTACACGACCAAATAGCTAGCTTCTGTATCCACGTGTCGCCACTGTTGAACACATGATTTCGAATCGCTCGTGCATTCCTCTACAGGCAAATGAAAATTCGACCAATCGCAACCTAAATAGTAACAGACTTCGTAGCCGAGATCGGTTAGAAAGAGAAATATAACTTTAAACTAATGGACTGAAAATAAAGAAAATGAGGCGAAAAAATTTCCACATAAATTTCGAACTTAAAATTAAAGTAATTTGCCATAATTGCTTTCCCATTAAATTAAGCTTTGATCTATAAGAATCTAAGCAATACAATCGTATCTGCTTTTAAGCTTTTGAAACGGTATATCTGAATACTGTTTAAAATTATTTATATATTGTCATTATTTTTACTATTATTAAACAAAAACAAAAGAAATGTACAGGATTTTAAACAATAAACAATTTTACAAATATAGACTGAACGACTGGCATTGTCGCAATCAATATTTCAATCTTTGTTTCGTGACTTGACGCCTATGAGGACTCAAATTAATTGACGCCGTCTCTTTGAAGCGACCTTACAATTTATGATTTTGTTAAACAAGCTATTTATAAATTAATGAACACTGTTTTGATTTCTTGAATTATTACATCATTTTAACTAATTGCAGACGAATTTTTGTAAGTAGTCGTAGTTATTAAACAGTTTTTAGCAGTTTAAATTCTGTAATTACTTGATTTGTATGACTGGAGATAGATATAGTATGTGATTTCGTTTAATCTACAAAGTTTACACTCTGATATATATAATTATTATAATAATTACAATATATGCGGTCGACGAAAAGTTTCTTCATATTTTATATAAAAATTAAAGACATTTTTTTTTTCAAAATTTAATTACATTAAATTATAATATATACATGTGCCATTTTGTTCGATAACTTATTGCCATTTTATAGATCATCCTGTTGCTGTAGAAATCATGGGATTTGCGATCAAAAAAATGCGACAAATAGTTTTGATAGTCCTGTCTTGATGTCAACCTAACACTAACCAAAAATTTAAAAGATACCGAAACAGGTGAAAACCATAAAGATCAGGTTCAGGACCAACGGCTTTAGGTGCCTTCCCGAGGCACGTACAACGACAACGTCCTAACTCCAAATAAATGTTTTTGACACGACTCGGGACTCGAATCGGGAACCACATGCCAGAACCAACGAGGCAGTCAATCACACAATAATATATAGACAGGTAGGAAAGAGTAAAGGCACTATTAAGAGCAAAAGTAATAAAAGTAATAAACACGGAAGGGCCGGCCCCACAGACCTTACTAATTGATCCCCGAACGTAACGAACCATTTTAATTTCTTCTTGCGGTGAGACGGTGCGCTCTGGGATCACATTTATCAAGGGAATACCTACTCGTTTCTATAAAAAGCATTGTTGGGAATTTTCTTCTGTTATCATTTATAAAAATAAATATTAATAATTAACACTCTTTCCTATTTTTTACCGATTTATATATTATTGTGTAATTCACATATAGCTCAAAGAACCGACAACCGACGGGGAAAAAAGGTTCTCGAGTGGCAGCTTCGTACTGGTAGGCGTAGTGTAGGGAGGCCCCCCAATAAATGGAGTGACTGACGACCTGGTAAAACATGCAAGAAGTTGATGGATGCAGATGGCTCGAGACCGTGCGTTGTAGTATTCCTTGGGGAAGGCTTATGTTCAGCAGTGGACTTGTGAAGGGCTGTAATGATGATGATGACTCTTTCCTATTATGTATATTATTTGACTGCTTTGTTGATCTAGTGGTCGTAAGTCCGATTACTGTTCACGTGGTCCCGGGTCGGGCCAAAACCCAGTTGTTGGGCTTTTCTATCAATAAGTTCTTCGATTTTTAAGTTTCATTCTTTTAATTTAATTAAATTCAAAAAATGAAACTTAATAAACGGCACAAATTAAATTGTTATTCTCAATTACAAGTGCTGATTTACCACGTGCTCGGCGTTAAAGGGTAACATCGTGAGGAAATCTGCATGTCAAAGACATGAAAAAATATTTTAAAGGCATGTGAATGCCAACGAAACCCAAGGGGCCAGCAGCTGGCTGACTTTATGGAGTAACTGGGACTCTTTTTGAAGAACTCTTCCTTCCAAAAACGACCCCACAGAAAGTGGACTTGGTCGAACCTACATCGAGCGTAGGTCTAGACAACAACTGTTCAGCGATGTATCAGTGATCGTAATTGGGAAAACTGGCAGCGACCACCGAATGAGGACAGGCACATTGAACCTAAACGTGAAGTTGGAGAGGTCATGACGAATGAAGTCAACGCCCCATCCCACTCGTGCTCTAATCCAAAGCTTTAAAACTTTCAGCTCGAGTTAAAAAATCGTTTTCAATACCTACGAGACTGCAATGAAGTGGACGATATGAATGACAAGCTTGTGGAAACTAACCATGCGGTCGGAGCTAAGTTCTGTAAGACCCGTGGCAAAAGAACACAAAAACTCTACGATCACACTCTTAATCTCATGGCTGTTAGATGGGAGATGAAGCTGTAGTCTTCAGCAGATTTGACAGCTTACAGACAACTGAACAGACAGATCTCCAAATGCATGTGGTGGGACTTACGCAACTTTAATACTGCTCGTATTGAACAAGCGATGGATCGGAACCAGGGCTCCAAAGTATTAGCCAGAGATTTGTCTACCATAATGAGCCAACTGTCGAAGCTGAAGACCGAATGTGGTGGCATCGTTTCCGGGACACCTGAGATTTTGAGTGAGATTGAGAGGTTCTATGGGCAGCTGTACACATCATCGTTGGAACCACACGCAAGTGTGATTAACGATCCAAGAGAAAATTTAATCCGACACTACTCCGATGATATCCCGGACGTCGTAAGCGCGATTAGAATGGCCCTCCAACACCTTAAAAATAGCAAGTCCACCGGCGAGGATGGAATTACAGCGTAGCTTCTGAAAGCGGATGGAAAACCGATAATTAATGTTCTTCAGAAGCTCGTCACGTCCGTTGTCTACTCCGGAAGTATGGAGCAGAATTGCGGTTGTCTTGTTCTTCGAAAAAAGCGACAACGCTCTCTTGAAGAACAGCAGACTGATTTCCTTTTTGAGCCGCGTCTACGTGCTGTTTTCGAGAGTCATTACGAATCGTCTCGCACGAAGACTCGACGAATTCCGGCCTCTCGTTTAAGCTGGTTTCCGAAAAGGCTTCAGTACCATAGACCACATGCATACCCTGCAGCAGATTGAGATTTTACAGAACACCGAAGAGTACAATCTGCCACTTTGCCTGGCGTATGCCTTAGAATCCGTTGAAATTTGGGTGGTTCTACAGTCCCTTCAGCGATGCCAAGCTGACTGTCGGTATATCAAAGTGCTGAAGTATTTGTACAGTAGGGCTACGATGGCTATGCGAATACAGAACCAGATTGGTTTTGTATCTCTGGTGCGTTGGAACCAACGGATTGGTCTTAAGATAAACATGGACAAAACAAAAGCCATGTGTAATGTCCATATCACATCTATGCCGGTAGTTGTTGGGAGCACTAAGCTCGAAGTTGTAGACGAGTATGTTTACCTGAGACAAATAGTCCGATTAGGTAAGTCCAACTTCGACCGAGAGGTCAATCTACGCATTTAACTCTGCTGGTCAGTGTTCGGTAGATTACAACACATCTTCTCGCCAGGCATATCTTAGAACCTCAATACTGTTGTACAACCAATACGTGTTGTCATTGATGACTTGTGGATCTGAGACGTGGTCCTTCACAGCTGGCCGTATGAGGAAGCTCAAAATCACTCAGCAAGCTATGGACAAGGCTATGCTCGGGGTTTCTCTGTGTGATAAGCTTAAGAATGAGGATATCCATAGTAGAACCAGAGTGACCAACGTAGCACAACGGGTTATTTGTAAGCTAAAGTGACAATGGCCTGACAATATAGCCCTAAAAACCGAGAACTGATGGAAAGAAACGTTCGCGAGTGACAACCTCGGCAGGCGAAGTGTAGGACATCCCCCCCATTAAATGAGCCCAGGATCGTGCTTTGTGACATTTCTAGGGGGGAGGTCTATATTCAGCAGTGGACTTGTGAAGGGAAATTCTGGAATGATGAATGATGTTGTGAAGTCCGCCGGCAAGCATTGGGGTAACGAGATGGAACACTTTTATGTAGCGTAAACAGAAGGGTTAAACCGCCATTAATGGCAAGCTAGGAGATATTTTGAACATTTCCCGTATTCACTTCTTACCACAATCACGGGACGAAATGAAGTGACTGATCCTTGTTGGGGTCATCAGCATTTTTTTTAACATTTTGTGTACTAATGTTCTGTCCGTCAATTGTTACAGATGAAGGTAAAATCCATAAAATCGTACAATGGACACGCAATGGTGATAATCAGTCAGCTCTACTTGACATTTTCGATGTTACTCCAGGTGAACCAATACAGGTAAGAAATATTTTAGATTGATGTAGATTGGAAGATAAATAAATATAGTATTTGTTAACAGTATAACACGATACACTGAAATAAAAAGAAAAATATATAATAAAAAGTTTCAGCATAATATCTAGTTTAGTAAAATATTTTTGTATAAGTATTTTATGATAGTTTAAGCTACACGTTTCCGTTCTGTAGCCAAGATACAGCCGCATCATACCTTTACTACGTACGAAATATATTGTCATAAAATCGAGCTAGCTAAATATCATAGCCAATAATCTTCTATCACCCGATGTAAAAAAATATATTATTACATCGGTAGTAGCGTTTTCGATCTAAGGCGTCTGTGTCGTAGCGATGACGACTAATCTTTCCATCTTTTTAACTATTACAAGTCATTGCTTGACTACTTATTGATCGAAAGTGGTGATGCATCTGAGGATGGTAAAGCATACTGACCTAAACAAAATCCTATTCACTCTTGCATTTAAGGTATTAACATTGTGATCGGATGGAAAGACTGCAAAAATCTGACAAATTGTTTCACTCCTTTGTTGTATTAAAAATGACGCAGCTAACCATTTTATTTAAATCGGTGGTATATCGACCTCTAGCGGTGTGGATATGTTACTAACAATAAAAACATTATCCCAATAGGCAATGGCACTATCTCGCGTCCACGGATCATTGTACGCTGCGTCAGACCGCCGCGTTCTACAGCTGCGTTTAGCTTTATGCACGCGCCGATACGACGCGTGCGTGCGTTGCGCACGCGACCCTTACTGCGGCTGGGACCGAGATGCAAGCGTTTGTCGCGAATACATGCCTGGGTAAGATTTACTAATAAATGTTGATTTGATTATTTTATTTTCTTGTCATGAAATGAGTATTTTACAGATTTTGTTATGAGTTTGCTATAATTACATATTATTACAACACCCACACATCGATAGCATAACACCAAAGTGTTATGTAGATGATTGTATTACATAATTGTAAAATCAATCCTAAAGCAATAAAAATAATAGAAATTCATATGTAATTATAACGTCTAATTTTCTCTCCATTACCTTCTTCTTATTCTTCTTCTTATATTATATAATAATCAATTGCTGTCAGTTAGTCTCGCTAAAACTCTAAAAAGAATCGAATGATTTTGACGAGTTTTTGTGTGTAGTTGAGTGGGTCCCTGGATGGTTCAGAAACTCGATTGGCGCCGGTAGGTGGTGCTGCTGTCAAAATCTAGAAATCACTCGTGCAAAGCCGGTACGGTTTGCTGGTATTTATATAAATTAGAGAACACATGTTTAAATGCTCTGTCTGTTTTGAGTCAACAATTATACGTAGAACGTATTTATAATGCAAAATGTTTCATTATACAATAAAGTAATATGTACTACGTTTTACAGAGATGCCAAGACTTGGTCGTTTGAAATACATATTAGAGACCATGGGCTCAACCTTACATAGTCTGTGCCATAAAATGTACGTTCTTTCTTCATCCTTTAACGCGCCGCACCGCCGTACAGATTCTTGTTCGCGATGTCTGTTCTAGTACGTAGTAACTACTTCAATACCTTTATATGCCTTTATATTCTGTTTCTCCGACACTGCATTCTAACACATACTTTTTATATTAGCGTTTAAAAAATATATACGAGTACTTTAGGATGTCCGAATTTTGTAGATATTCACGGGTAGTAGTAGTTACTTGCCTACCATCTTAAAATAATTACGAAAGTGAGCCATATGATCGTATATTTTCTATAAAAAAGAGTAAGTATCACTGTGTCAGCACATATACAGTAACAATAGTTTTAAATCACTGCTACAATCAGAATCGGCGACGAGAACATCATCATCGTCGTTATACAGTAACTTTTGAAATAACAAGTGGTAAAATTAAAAATTTTTTACAACCGACTTCCATATAAATAAAATGAGAACATTATCAATGTATTCGAATTCAATTTAATACGCATTATTAAGAATAACTCAAAAACTACTGGACAAATCTTGATCAAATTTATATGGGATCACACGAGAAGCAACAACTTTCAAATAAAAAAGAATAATCAATTCAAAAAGTTCTGAGGTAAAACACATAAAATACGTACAGTCCAATTGAGTACCACCTCCTTTTGGAAGTCGGTTGCAAAAGTAATACTTAAACATTGAATTAAGTACTAGACAATAAAAAAGAGTTTTAATTTTATAGATTTCGTTTCATCCGTACAAAGATGAACACTCAAAATATTTTACTTTCGAATTATGCAGTATTATTTGTTAGTATGTAGTAGATGATGCAGTCTCGAAAATAAACGTAAACTACTGACAAACTAACATGACTTGCAACCAAGTCCTAGTTATGAAACAAAGTTTTGTTTGTTTAGTACTTAGGCAAGCACGTTTGATAGAACCATGAGTAAAAGTTGAATATTATACAATAATATGCTAGGTACTACTCCATATTACAATACTAATATAGTTTAAGAGGTAATAAGTGAATGATCGCATTAAAATAATAAATACCAGCAAACAAACATTTAAGACGAATGTTCGGTGTCATTTTCTTAAATTTCTACAATGTTTTGTAGCAATTTAATCTAACCTCCGTCATCATTATAGTTATCTCTGATTTAGTTTAATCAGGATATTATATATCTTACTAGCTTGCCAGGTAAACGTTGTTCTGCCCTTTTCGACGACAATTTGTCATATCCTATTAAAAATCCTTTAAATTCGCCAAAATAAATTGTGAGCAAAAAACTATCCTATCTCTCCAGTTGGACCAAACCGCACACGGTGTTCAAATTTGATTAAAATCGGTTAAGTAGTTTAGAAGTCGCAGACAAACAACGTGAGACGCAATTTATATATATATTAAGATATTATAATATTCTCTTATGAGGAATATATTTATATATTTGTTTATTTAGATTTCTGTGTATATTTCCTTTTTATATATTATATTTTTATGCTCTTACTGTTTTGTCGCTAAGGCAGTGAGAACATGGGTACTACACTGGTAGATAATATTTTAGCATTAAATCCGCCTTTTGATCCTATACTGTTGTAAGGTAGTATGTAATAAATAAATTACATTCGTAACGCAATGTAGGTACCTTGCTTATGCATTAAAGTATTAAATAATTTTAAGTATCAAATATATTTTAAAACAAAAGTGTATTATGTATCTAAATTTAAACTTTTGAAATAAAGCCATTTTTAATTTTTTTTTAAATAAAACATTGAATTTCCTTAGACTGATACAAGACGTTGCCAATGAAACAGCGGACATTTGCGATTCGTCGATCTCTCGTAAAAGTGTATCTGCTACCTGGGGCCAGAGCTTACATCTGGGCAGCTTCGTGAAAATGCCTGAAGTACTCCACCCTCGTGCCATCACTTGGTATCACTATTCGAAAGAAAAGGGAAGACACCCCATCATTTTCAAGTAAGTCTTTATTTAAACTTGAATTTAAGAAATGTGAAATTTTTAGAAATACTGTTTTATACTCGGAAAATACCAAAAATAAAATTTTCATACAACACCAGTGGTATTGTATGAAAATGTAACAGTGCAAAACATTCGCTTGCGTGCCCTTTACAACGCCTAAACTGCTGCCGCAATGCAAACGTGATACATACTCACGCATTTTTTTTTAAATTAATTTGATTTGTTTTTAACTTCCCACTCAAAAAAATGGGAAAACTGTTGTTTACACCCCTGTTTTTAAAAATCGAGTTCTCAACAGATCTCGACGTTTCGAAGTCTTAGGAAGCTATTCTGGATATTTTTGCGATGATGTCCTTATGTCTGTCTGTGCGTGTATGTGTGTGTGTATGTGCTACATGTTTACATACACACACACACAAACACATGTGTTTATGTAAACATCTCATTGCTTTATAACGGAGTGTCCGAGTAAAAGTGCTTTATTGGACTTCGATTTTCTGAGAATTTAAACCAAATCGTCACGGTAGATTCTGAGAACACTTCAAAAAACGAGCTTTTTTAAATTTTCAAATGGTATTTTTCCTGGAATTACTTCTACACCCTTGTTTTGATCAATTCTATAATCTAAGAACTCTTGACGACTTCCAGCCTCCCGAACAAGCCGGTTTCCGAAAAGGCTTCAGTACCATAGACCACATACATACCCTTCGGCAAATTGTACAGAAGTCCGAAGAGTACAATCTGCCACTTTGCCTGGCGTATGTGGACTATGAGAAAGCCTTTGATTCCGTCGAAATTTGGGCGGTGCTACAGTCTCTTCAGCGGTGCCTAGTTGACTGTCGGTATATTGAAGTGCTGAAGTGTTTGTACAGTAGGGCTACGATGGCTATCCGAGTACAGAACCAGAGTACGAAACCTATCCAACTGCAGACAGGTGTAAGACAGGGTGATGTTATATCCCCGAAACTCTTCACCGCTGCGTTGGAAGACGTTTTCAAGCTACTGGACTGGAAAGGATACGGTATTAACATCAATGGCGAGTACATCACTCACCTTCGATTTGCCGACGATATAGTCCTTGTGGCAGAATCGCTGGAGGACCTTAGCACTATGCTCAATGACCTCAATGGTGTCTCCCAACGAATAGTCTTAAGATGAACATGGACAAAACAAAGATCATGTTTAATGTCCATGTCACACTTATGCCGGTAGTTGTTGGGAGCACTATGCTCGAAGTTGTTGACGAGTACGTTTACCTGGGACAAATAGTCCGACTAGGTAAGTATTGACCGAGGTCGATCGATGGATTCAACTCGGCTGGGCAGCGTTCGGGAAATTACGACACATCTTCTCGTCAAGGTATACCTCAATCTCTGAAAACTAAAGTGTATAACCAGTGCGTGTTGCCAGTGATGACTTACGGATCTGAGACGTGGTCCTTCACCGCTGGCCGTATGAGGACGCTCAAGGTCGCTCAGCGAGCTATGGAGAGGGCTATGCTTGGAGTTTCACTGCGTGATAGACTCAGAAATGAGGATATCCGCTGTAAAACCAGAGTGACCGACATAGCCCAACGGATTAGTAAGCTGAAGTGGCAATGGGCCGGCCATATAGCTCGAAGAACCGATAACCGATGGGGAAGAAAGGTTCTCGATCTCGTTCTCGGTGGTAGCCTCGTACCGGTAGGCGTAGTGTAGGGCGACCCCCCACTAGATGGAGTGACGACCTGGTAAGACATGCAGGAAGTCGATGGATGCAGGTGGCTCAGGACCGTGCTTTGTGGCATTACTTGGGGGAGGCCTATGTTCAGCAGTGGACTTGTGAAGGGCTGTAATGATGATGATGATAATCTAACCAGCTATTCCATTCAAAAAACTACGTCGATTGCCGTGAACTGCATCAAAATCAGTTGATTCGTTCGAGAGATAATAGTGAAATAAATCTCGAAAAAGTGATTTTTCAAAATAACTTGAAAACTTTCCGTGAAATCAATTTTTTTTTGTAAGAAGATTTTTGTTAAGCTAAAAAATGCGTCGATTACCGTAAATCACACCATAATAGGATGATTTTTTAGTGAAATAATCAATTTTGAAAAAATAAAAACACGTGGTTGTCCAAAATAAGTGGAATTTGGAGTTCTTTGATGCTGATATTAGCGGGAAGTATTCCAGGGATGGCCTGCAGGTTCAACCAACTTTTTATTTATAAAACTAAAACGACAAGAGAACCTTCAGTCAATCTGATTGTATGGCTACTGAAGCCCGTGGACACCGGCTACCAACTTCTACCGTAGAAAACTATAGATGCGTTGTCACCTCAATGGACTTAGATGGTATGCCTCACAACCTGTAATTAATGGGTCCCTTTACCCTATTATTGATTGACGGCGGAAATAGGTAAGAGAAGGAATAGACCCACCCAGACCTCCTATCAATAATATCAGTTTACCTCTCACTTTTTTTTAACTAATACTGATTATCGACTCATTTTGTTTGCGATAAAATACATATATAGGTTACAGACATACATAACCTCTCACTTCCGTCACCCATGAGGATGGGCAAAGACTACGGACTTCCAGGATCATGTCTGAGACACCTCTCTTGCTTATTTTACATATAAAAGTTACAGCTTATATACGTCCCACTGCTGGGCACAGGCCTCCTCTCATTTCTGAGAGGGTTTTAGGGCAAGGAATAGTCCGACTATTCCGCGCTGCCCCAATGCATGTTGGCGAACTTCACGTGTCTTCGAAATAAATTGTTTTCTTATTTATCAGACATGCAGGTTTCCTCACGATGTTTTCCTTCACCGCCGAGCACGTGGTAAATCAGCACTTAAAATTGCAGTTAACAATTTCATTGGTGCCAGCGGGGATCGAACCCGGTTTGCTCGCGTATTTTACACATTAATAAATTATATTAATATTAGTAATAAATAATATCAATATTAGACTATACTAATCGAGCAATCAGGAAATAGGAAAATCGCACGAGTTCGTGAGCCAGAAACCTAACCGACGCTATGATTTACGCAATTCAAAAATTATTGGTTATATGGTCCCTTTCAATCACCTATTATGGTGATTTTCAATCACCTTTCGATTTTATTCCTGGGTAAGGCATGGGCGTTTTCTAAGTAAAATAATAATTAACCTGCCTTATTTCTTTCGCCATATATAAAGTCAATAAAATTAGAGGATGTGAGGAATTCTTATAGTCCTCAGAGGTGACAACGTATCTCAGTCATTTTATATTTAAAGTAGGTTCAGTTATCAATAGGCTGAATCAGCCTCTTACCGTCAAGTGAATTTGTACAAGTTAGTCTATCAATTTAAAAAAATATAACGATGATCGAAAGCGGATGTTATCCCTGTTGTAAAATTATACAACTAAACATACGTTTAAGAGCTTATAATCACATTAAAATATATTTTATACGTGGCAGAGCCATGCTGCAGTTATATTAGAAGTATAGTTGTAGTGCGAATGGGTCGGCTGGACCGGGGAAGTACCACGCTCTCACAGAATATCAGTGTAAAATAGTAGCTTAATGCTACTGTGTTTCGTATGGTGAGTGCAGAGAACCGGAGACCCTTTTTACTGGAAAAGAGGCATTCCATCTTAGTCCTCATGGGTGACAACGCATCTGCATTTTGATTCGTAATCGAGGATACATGTAAATGTCTATGGGCCACAGCAACCACTGTCCAACCAGGTGGACTGTGTGCTCGTTTGTCACCTTATCGTATAAAAAAATATTCGTATTATTTTCGTAAAACAATTATACAATTATAATGTAGTATGTATGAAATACTGCGTAATATATTAACTGTTAATAAACGCGTTCCGTGAATATTTTTTTATGTTTTTCAAATAAGCCTGTCATGTGTAATGAAAATGAACAGTTTGGAACTTTTATACTTAACGCGTATATCAAAAGCAATTTAAAATTAACACGAACATTTTCATTTACTTTCGAATCTACATTATGCTTAAATAAATTCTACGCGTAGGTATGTCACAAAACCACTCGCTCATTATGAACCTCGGACAAAGTTTCTCCCTCACCTACTTGAAGGAAAGTTTTTAAAACGTTAAATTTCCTCCAAAACCGTGAACAACCTCTTTTTATTACTGGCAATGAAACGAAACAGTAAATAGAAAGGAATGTGAGTTTAAAAGGAGTGATTATTTGGAAAACGTCTAAGGCGAACACGCTTGCAACAACATTAATTAAAGTGTTTCCAAATCTACTGTTATCGCACTTCCTTTTGTGTGATTAAAATGCAAGGGGAAACGCGGAATCAAGGCTTTGTTTGCGATGTTTCATTCATACTCCTGACCTCGGTGTTACTGTTTAAAAGAATGAAATTAGTTGATACTGCAATCGTTTCTATTGAGGATGCGCCAAAACTATTAATCATAAAAAGTATAGTATAATTTAAGTAGTATAGTAACTTTTGAATTTCAAAAGGTCATAAATATCTGAATGCGTCCTTTTCTTCATCAGCTTATAAAAGTCTACTTTTGGATATGGTTCGCTCCCATTTTAACGAGCATTTTCCTTAATCTTTACGCTTAGCTGGCGGAGTGCAATCGCAGTACCTGATGTTTCGCGTCTTTAACGCTGCATCCCATCGCCTGTTCCGATATTGTACGTGTGGCGTAATCCGGATAGTTATATCACCATCTATTGTAACCCATTTAGATTTTTTGGCATGTCCCACAGTCGCTTCTTACGGGACAAATGTGTCAGATTATTTTACGCCGCTACCACACTGCTTAGTTTAGATTAATAAATAGTTAACTACACGAAAGCAAAAATATAATATTCATTGCAGTTATGCTTAAAATCCCTTCAACTGAAACCACTCATATATTTTAATGTAAAAATAATATTTGCCATGTTATTTATTTCAGTAAACCGGAAAAATACATAGAGACATCTGAACATGGACTACTTATAATATCTGTGAATGAAGGCGATGCAGGCCGTTATGACTGTTGGCTCGGAGGATCCCTTCTTTGTTCTTACAACATTACCGTTGATACTCATAGGTAAGAAAAAATATTTTAAATACCATATTTAATGTTTTATTTTCTCCATCATGTTTTTAAAATGATCTTTTTTAGATGTTCACCACCCGAAAAGAGCAATGAATATCAGAAGATATACTCAAATTGGTGTCATGAATTCGAAAAATATAAAACCGCCATGAAAACGTGGGAACGAAAACAAGAGGTGACTATCATGAAACGTTTTCCTTTACAGTGATCAAGATACGTAATTATCTTTAAAATTTTTACGTTAATAATGTCCATTATTATTTACAGCAATGTGCAAGACAGAATGACTCGAATCAAAACACGCATCCTAATGAAATAGTGTGATAGCTTCTGAACGTCGCCTATCTCATGTTCCAGTCGGTTAATTACTATGCAGGAGCTATCCCAATACCTTACGTGTCGGCCGGCCTCAAATATTTCAATATATTTTCGTGAGTTCATCCGTCAAGAAATATCCGCTCCAAAATAAGGTGATCTAGTAGCGACTCCATAGATGTATCCACGCTCAATAATAGTGCTAAGCAAGTGACTCCCCTAGCTTTTAAATACGTTAAAAAGTGATTTTTAATAGTTTAACAATCGTACACCGCTCCGACCTCATGAGAAGGTGATTTGACAATCAAAATTTTAACGGACACTTTTTAAAATTTAAAATGGAAGATTAACGAGCGTTGTACGCTGCTTTGTTGGAAATGTATTAAATATGTATAGTGGTCAGTTTCGTAAACTGCTTCGTTCGTTGGATAAGGTAGAGAATTCGTTAAGAAAAAAATAATTAACTGGTACAAGACTACGTGTATAATGCATTTATATTTATTAATAATAATTATTGACTGCAATATTTGTGGTAATATACTTTTATGTTTTTAATTTTCTTTAGCCCATAAATATTTTTTGTGATTAGAGCTTTTGGAAAATATTTGATATTTCTTTTTTAGTAAAAAGATCAATGTACAATACCTGCTCGTACTATTGAGTGAATAAGATACGTATTGCTTCGTGTGGCCTCCGTGCCGTTTCATCGCGGCCGTAATTTGAAATCTCCGAGGGTTGTGGGAGGGTATTCCTCATTATTTTTCCCCTATTTGTGTAAATAGTTAACCTAATTTCGTTCTCTATACCTATTAATGTAAGTACGTATAGGATGCACGTCCTTAATTATAATGAATATAATTTAAGCCTGTGATATATAACAAATTCGTTTAGAAAAAGTTATTTTAAGGGTATCAATGTATAATCATACAGAAACGCTAAATTAAGTTTTTTTTAAATGCACTTATTTACTAATAAATATATTTTATTTTTATTTTCAATGTATCAATGTAATCACTTGATATCAGCACGATTTTTTTAAATATTCTGTATATAGCATAACTACTTACGATACTTCCGTAACTTACTTTCATATTAATTATATAATATCACTTTATTCGCTTTACACAATAATAATTAACATAATACGAATATTTTAGTCAAATGTCATTGAATACATACAATTATTATGATCTCAGAGAAAATCGAGTACATAAATTTAACAAATATTAACATATCCTCTATTATTTTCATCATAAATAATCTATATTATTTTAACATAAACTATTGGGAGTAAAAGACTTTACATTTAACTTTACTTAATTGTATTTAAATCACGATGGCTTCTAGTATAATCAACTTAGCAGCAATAATTCGTTACTCTCAGCATAGCATGCTCAGATGAGTAAAAATGAATGTCAGGACAGCCTACTCAAAGCATTATTTCTATATGTTTCAAAGAATAAAAACCAATGTTATCTTTGGATTCTGTAACTTTTCCTCATAATCTGTCCTTACAAACATTGATACTCTGTTAAATTTTATTGTATTGAAAATAATATAATGTTTTTAAACGTAGACAGTGTTTTAGAAAATATTTTCTGCATATTTTTGTACAAAGATTTGATCTTAATATCCCTAGATAGTTAGAAGTATTAACGTCTGTCGCTAATCATCCTCACTAGTACCTATTCGAAAATTCGTTCGACTCCATATCATAAATTTATAGTAATATTTAAGAGCTTGTACTTATATTATCGTACGTACAGTCATTGATACCATTATATTTACATGAACAGTTGATAATAAATTTAATTAATTGTGTTTTAAAAATCGTAAGATAAATATTTTTTCTAGAGATTTATTGAGAAATAGTAAATTTTATTCAAATGTAATTTTTTTTCATCTGGTTTTCTTTCTATCATATTTATTTATTACTTAAATCAGTTTTATATATAACTGTTTTAAGTAATTATTTCGAAATATTTAAAATTCATTTGACTTTGATATTTTAAATCGCTTTCAGTTTAATTAATACTAAAGCTTATAAATCAGCCCTTAATGGAATCAGTAATTCCTAGTAAAATCCATTTAAAATTTAGTTTTATCTTGGTTAGAAATTATTATGAGGGAACGCCATTGCTGCAGAGTTATAAAAGTAGAGTAATTATTATTTATTGGTAATTTCTTATATCCGCAAATCCTATAAAACAATATAAATATAAATTACTTCGCAACCTTCCGCTAACTAAATACAATGATGTGTCTTACCTGGATTGAAGAGCACCTCCCGCCCTCCCTCAATTGCATGCACTCCCAACACCACTACTCCAAACAACCCGGCACCACTACTTCCAACACCACTATTCCAGGTAAGATACATCATTGTACTTAGTTAGCGGAAAGTTGCGAAGTAATTTATATTTTTATTATAATGGATTTCCGCAAAGTAACGCCTGATTCTATCAATTATCCTATAAAAGAAGTTGTAAATACAGTCTTGTGTCCGTTTAATTTTAACCTTTTTTTATATTATCGACTTTATAGTACTTTTCCACACCGATGGTCACGGAACTGAGGTACTTGAAGTTCTGATGTTATAATAAGCTTAGTTTACGATAATTCGTAAGATTTAGTTCATTAGAGTTTCATTAAGTTATTGTTTTGTTAAATAGGCAATGGTGGATATCCTTAATGTTATAATAAATAGGTGCTTCAAAGATACTTTCTTAAATTTGCTTACAATTATATTATAATCAGATTTCATATCATGATGTACATACATGGATCGAAATAGATATAAATTGGTAAGGAATATCTGAGCTTCGTCGTTTATTATACTAAATTATGTATTATCTTAAGATTCGGTACTTAAGTATTCTAGTTATTATAAAACGATTTCCCGTCTCTAGGGATAATCTTGCGCAATAATTATAGCTAAATTACTTATTATTGTCTGTACTAATCGAATAGCTCTGTAAATCCCACATGTTACTATACTGTGTAAGTTAAAAATTCAAGAGTAGTGTTAAGGTTTTATATAATAAATCTAGAAATGTATCTTGCAACTTGCTGAAGTTTTATTTGTACATTTTTCCCCTTTCTTTTTATTTCTTATATAATATAATTTCTAAAAGTGTAAATATTTAAAACGTTTTTTATATAGAAGAGGCAAATGAGCATACGGTTCATCTGATCTTAAGTAACTACCGTATCCCATGAACAACCGCAACACCGGGGGAATTGCAGGTGCGTTGCCGTCCTTTAGAAAGGAGTAAGCTCTTTTCTTGAAGGTCCCTAGGTCGTACCGGTCCGGAAAATTCGCTAGCGGTAAATTATTCCAAAGACAGTGCGTACGCCGAAGAAAACTCCTAGTGAAACGTACGGTGGTGGACCGCCAATCATCCAGATGGTATGGATGGTATCGGGAGGTTTGCCGCGTAACGCGTTCAAGAAATTTGCGGCTATGATCAATCCGAACAATTCCTCAGAGTACTCCCCGTGGTAGATGCGATAAAATACGCAAAGAGATGCAACATCTCTTCGCAGCGCCAGTGAATCAAGCCGATCGGAAAGCACTCGGTCGTCGACGATTCGAGCCGCTCTGCTTATACTTTTAATAAAAAATAAAAGCCGACATCAAATAACTACTCGTAAAAAGAATTAAACGATTTCACATTCTTAGGTTGATGCTAAGACAGTGTAACTAGATTTTAAAATTCTTTTATTCTTTTAGTTCTTAAAACTCGCAATTTTACTATTTTTTTTACTTTTATACGTGGTAGAGCCATACTGCAGCATGTCTATGAGCCACCGCAATCATTTACAACCAGGTGGACTCTGTGCTCATTTGTTATGCTATAAAAATATAAATATAAGGAATATAATAATTTCAATAATTTCATCCTCCATTTTGTCACCTGGGTGGATATTTTTTCTAAAATAGTGGGATATCTCGTAAAGTATAATCTATTTATTTAAAAAACAAACATCAAATATATAACGTGACATACATACAAACATATCTAAATGCATAGATACATATATTTTATTAGGTCGCTTAAAAATAAAGTCATACCCATGTAAGTTTACAAAATAGTTTTGGAAAGATTACATCAAGAGTTAATTTCCGCCGTTCAAGCATTTTCGTGAACCACCACATTTAATAGTAGTAAAAAGGCTACGTATGATTCTCAAAGAATTTTTATGCGTTCTAAAGCCGCAGTTTAATATATTTATCGTTGCCGCACGAATAGGTCAGCTTGCGTAAAGGACTACGCTTGCATAGACTACTGGCGTAAAATAGAAGTATTATGCTGTTTGTTCGTGTAGGGAGTAACGAGCACCTGATAGATACCCTGGTAACGAAATTTTCAATATCAGTTCTAAATAGTGACAACGCGTCCGCATTTTGATTCTTAATAGAGAATTAATGGACTACAGTATCCGCTTATTATCGGACTAAAGTTGTGCTCATTTTTCACTCCTAAAAAAATCTTGTGAAAGGTCATAAAACTGTACAGTACAATTTTAATTTTTTTCCATACAGCTTCCTATCGTGCTTCACGCCGATTTTCAATGTATTTATAGACTTTAAAATCCGTTTATTCAGTTCCCGAAACGGGTGCAGCATGAAGTCTTAATTTCGTTCACATTTTGATTGCTACAAAGAGATAAATATTGAAAAAAATATAATATGAAAATGAGTTTTAAAAATCAGTAAACATTTGCAAGTTATAAATAAGAACAAGAAATCGAGAGATGTAAGAATGATATAGCAAACTATTTACCAAATGCTTACCTCACCTGCACCAAAAGCACACTGATAATTAACAAATGAGACCGCAAGCGTCCCACGGACCCTATACTTGTCATGACTATCATTTGAAATTACCGATTATGTATTCTACAAACTGACAATGAATAGCAGCATAACGTGCCCTCACCACGTGTGTGTAATTTAATCTGTGAAAATAAAGGTAATCAAATTAAAATACCTTAAAGTTATGGTT